GGGATTTATGAAGGACCTCAAGTTTCTAATGTGTCATAAGAAAAACCTACTTGTTCCTTGTACCGTCATTGATGAGGAGTTATTAGAAAATTTAAAAAATAGAACATTCTTAGTAGAGCTTAATAAAGCTTAATAAATTTTGAGAAAATCAGTGCTACAAACTGAGAAAAAAAGTTTTTAAATAATTTATCAATACAAGACCTTGAGGACGGTAAAGTTTCAGTGCCGGAAGACATCTCAATTTTATTTTACTCTTTTTGTTGGAAGTAACGGGAATGCTCGGAATAGTTTTATATTGCCATTGCATTAGCTATCCAGGGATTGAGGAGCTGGAAACTAAAGCTACCTATTACACAATGCAGAAGTCAACTATATGTCATGAAGCAATTAAATTAAATTCGAATCTATGTGTTGAAGTTGCGTTTTGTAAATTTGATCGGTTTGTGGAAACCAAAAGTGGGAAGGATACGTTACACGACACTCATTGGTCATCTTACACTAGCGAAGAACATAGAACTTCAGGAAAAACACGACGAAAAACAGTAGAGGTTACTGAGACCATACATCAAAAAACCTAAGATGACTGATTGTTTATACATTTCTATTCATGAAGCTGAAGAAACACTGCCTGGAAATTTGCATTTATACAAAAACATTGATACAATTTGGGTGCTCTGCCATGCTAACGATTTACCAAATCTTCCGATGTCCTATTCCAAATATACGCAGTAAATTAATTCATTTTAATATTTACTCATTATTTCCTTAATGGTGAAGTTTATTTTATCTCAGTAAGTATTCTGAGTACATTTGAATTTTTCTCTTGGAGACGCATGCACACAATGCTCTCACGCTCGTAATTTCGGCTGAATAATTTCATTCCCGTTTGTCTGACTGGTTAAATATAACTTTTTACTAGATGCAAGTGAAGTTCATTTATTTTTTGAGAAGCTTAAAAGCGTCTGGCCCATGAAAAGTGTCTGACACTTTTGATACTACTTCAAATTAATATTCTACATAATATATATAAAAATCAGCCGTATAAATTTAAGTTAAATAACTCTTATTTTGAGTTACCTTTCTCACCTGGTGCACGAGATGCTGCTGAGAACTTAAGGTTTCGTTTGTGAGAAAATAAGTTATGTCTGATCGCTATTGGATCTTAGACGATTGGGTTAAAGGTATCGAAATGCATTTAATTTTTTGAGAAAATAAATTTTATTTGTAGCTATGTCGTAAAACGCCCTGTAGCAACGATATAAGCAATCTAAATCAAGTCCCTTAACAAATATTTTCCATGAGCCGTATCAATACCACTTTGATTTCCTCTATCTTTAGGTAAATCTGTAGCCCTCGCTCTGCCCGGGTCAAAGCTGCTACCGCCACCAACACTGCTTGCGTTATTTTGGATCTCTAGCTTCTCGGGTCTCTCGTGGTAGGCGGTACCGGGGTCCTCCGCGGGTACTTCGCGTCGCAGCATCACTCTCTCCCGTATTCCACGGTCTCTCTTCCCCCCACCCCCCTCCGATCCCGCAGCACGGCACCAACACGATCAAACGTGAATTGTTACCTCAGTCAAACCGGTGTGGCGCGCAGGCAGGTCCAGCGCATTCCGTCGCGATTTTTTTTTTAACTCAGATCAGCGCAAAGACAAAGTATTGGTTATACGCGTCACCGGTGATTAACTCAAGGTATTTTATTCGGTTTCGGATTATCCTTGTGCCGTTCTTTCTGCCGGTGATCGATCGTCCAATGTGTGAAATGTGTTCGGTCCACTCGTTGAAGCAATTTAGAAGTTGCGCGCTTTGCTTGTATAGATAGATGATGTTGAAGCAAAGTTCAGAACCGGTGGCGGTGTTGCCGATCGCGTAGCTTTTCCCGCGGTTTAGGGACCTCTCGAATTGGACAGTACACCTGTCGTATCGGTTAGTTGTTCGGTGGTTTGACTTTTTGGCGGTGTTGTTCTCTCGGTTTCAGTCGCCGATTTTGTTCACGTAATAGTTTAGTTAAACGAATTCGATTCGCTTCTCGCTCTAATGAACTGGTACTCGTCGCAGAGTTCCCGACATTTGAGAGAATTGTATTTTTTCCTCCATCTTTCGTTCGGTGTACGGTTTTATCTTGACTGAGGTCTTGGTTATCGAGTGCAGCTGTTGTGACCTACTTAACTGATTCCCTGATCTGTCCTTTGAGTCTGTGGACAAGAGGAGAAACAGCTGCCATGGCATAGATGGTGAACCCGGATTTTTTGGTGTCAAACTGTGACAGCGCCTTTAAAGAAAAATGAATATGAACATATCTGAAATCCTTCATTTCCAAGATACAGGGCCTAAATGCTCTAAGTAAAAATGTCTTATTTACAAAGTTTAACTACTTTTGTATTAAACTTCGTCAAAAGATAACCAAAGTCCAGGGAGAAAAAATTGGGTTAAACATCGGTTCTGTAAAATTCCGGAATTTTAGGGGTTAAGCGATTTGACTATAGCTTTCTTACCTGCAAGTCAATTTTATATCTTTTCCATCTGTTCCCTGCACCGGGTATCCCAAATTCGAGGTGGACCATTGGGATCTCGGAAACCGTAAGACATACAAAGTCCGATAAAAAAATTAATTTAAAAATTAGGTATTTAATTCAAATTCGAGAAAATTCCGATTAGTTTCGGAGGTTTTCGGGAAAACCTGAAAAGCACTAATTTGTTTGGATTTTTTTTCTGGCGGGACACTACAAACATACATAGACTGTTCCTCCAAGTTTTAATATTTATTTTGTAAAAGAATCCGATTGGCATTATTTGCACCAATGTTTCTTTTCTCTCTTGCTTAAAGGATCCATATATTTACTTCCAAATATATAAAAATATTTTTTTGCTTTATCCAACAGGAGCTCTTCTTCAGCTTTACTAAAAATTTTCAGAATACTTTTTAGTCTACTTTGTCACTGTAACAACAGGTGGTAAAACCATAATGATAATGTTTGAAAGGACTGATCAATACAAGAAATTCTCTGTAAAATACCTACAAAACTGATTTGATTCCGACAGAACTTCGCAACTTTTTGGAACTTCTTAGAGGCCACAACCAAATTTTTTTCAACAGTGACCCAAAAAACAATGTGATACGATGTGTTCCTGCACATCTATTGTCAACTGAAGATAGCTCAAGGTTAACACAATTTTCTACAGCTTAGATCGATTTAAGCCATGGTTCAAATTTAACTATGGATTAGTAAAACTTGAGGTCATTTTCTCTCTCTACATCTGCACCATGACCGTTTTCGACTGAATGAGGTTAATAAAAGAAATGTTACGCTACTGCTTCCTCTGAAAAATCATTTGACTCGTGTCTTTTGTCGAATTTTAAACACGTGCCTCTCGGAAACAAAATTGCTTTTTTTTGACAATTCCATAAAGATTGGGGTTGCCAAAAGGAAACGAAGCAATTTCACCACCAACCCTACTATTCACACATGTCTCTATTTACCGCAAATATAATGTACGCTCCTGTACTTTTTTTTTACGCCTGAAGCTCCATTGACTTCCTCGAATGTGTTTTTGTTTGTCCGTCTTTGGAAGTATATTAAAAGTTAACGGTCGTGGACAACGCTATGATACGCACATGTGCGATTTACAAAAGCCGACAGCATTGTTTCGTTTAACGGTGCCATCATTAAAAAAAACCTCCCTCAAATTCGAAAATTTTCAATTCAGGTTTATGAGCTACTGGGGAATCTGGAAACGCAAACGAAGACGACAGGAAATTTTCCGTTCTCGCAAAAGTCCTGGATTTTGTATTGCTGGAGATGCCTGGACAGTACGGCAGCGATTGGCAGGCGTTGGAGGCAAAAAACTACAACAACTTTCCGTTTCGGTGATTTGACGCCCAAACTTCCTAAGCAAGAAGATCTCTATAATTGATTTTTGGCAGCATGTTAATACGCTTAATATTTTATAAAAAATACTTTCTATTTTACTGTCAGCAAAAAGCTGCCTAAATAAAATATAGAAAAAGACTAGTTCAATTTTTCAAATTTCTAAGAAAAGAACTTCAACAGCAGATTCTACGTCCAAAATAAGCCCTGCTTTTCTATATAAAAATATGTCAGGAAACTCCTCGTAAGGGAACCACATGCTGTACAAGGTATGGACCTAAAGTTTTGAAAGTTTATCATTTTAGTGGGTTTGATCTACTGAATTTGATTCTAAAAGTGTAGATGTCAAACTTTGATATGCTGTTGTATTTTTATAGTTTTTCGAGAATAGCCCTAGAGCAACAAGTGATGGTATAAATTAAAATAAGGATATATGTGCAATATATTTCGAAGCACATTCACATATCCGAGGTGTAGTCGCCGCGTTACTTTTCTATAATGACGTCATTTTTCGTAAACCTAATAGGATTGCTTAATCCGCCAAATTTGTCCGCAAGTGTAATGCGAAAACTCTCGCAGGCTGTGACGTAATTGAAGTCCTGTATCGGTGCGTTTACTATGTAAATGCATGGAAATAATCTGAAACTGACCCGAGTTTTGATGGACTTTGAGTATTTTGAGTAGCTAATATAGCATTTTGTTTGAATAATCACTGGTTATTTTCATTTAATGTCAACATTAAATCGGTTTAGTACTTATTTAATAATTATTGGGAAGTAGCGTAGGGTAGGGTCCCAGGTAGGGTAAAAATAATACTATTGCAATCAAGTTTGGCTTATATGTATTATCCTGAAATACATATGTTAATTAAATATTGTTACACATAAATACATAAAACTAGCGAACACATGTTTACATGTTAAACTTTTTGTTTTACGGCATTCTACCATTTTAAATATACAAAAATCAACAAACACTTAAAACTAGAAATCCCCATTTTTGGATATATTAAAGAACATTAAAAAACAAAAAATATATTAGGCATACATAATTCATTTAATAATATATTTATATCATATTTATATGTATTTAATATATTTATAATATAATAATTTATAGGTGGTAGGTAAATATTAATATGTATTTATATGTACCTTCGTATATACATGATATAAAAATACATATTACTACATATACTTAAATCTTTATTTTACAATTTTACCATACTTTCTAATGTTTTTTCTGCGGATATCATCTTGCAAAGGTTTTCTGGCCGGGGTTCTGGCATGAGTTCTGGAGATGGATTTTCCTCTAGAATTTCACTTGTGGCATTCGATGTTGTTGCTAAAAGCTCAGACAATACCAGCTGAACTTCTTCGTCTTCTTAGATAATCCTGCTTCTGTTGGTGGCTTCTGGTTAAATAATAATAGGATGGGAACAGCAGTTTTGTAAAAAAAATATTTCTTACCTTTTCCTATATTATTATGTGTAATATTTTGAGATTACCTCCTAACAATAACACCGCTAATAAGCAGCACGGACACAAAACTTTTAAGTCTTTGTTTAAGCTTAAAACTACTGTTTTTCTCAGTTCTCGCCACTCAAGCACATACAATGTTAAAGTATTTGTTAAAGCTTTAAAACACTGTTTTGTCCAAGTTTTTTTTTACAGAGATACAATTAACACAAACATAAGCGCACTACTCACTAGTTTAAATTATTTTAATTGTTCAAAGAACACAAAAATACATACGCCTTCAAATGCATTGACAGAATACACAAAAACCGTTAGAGGACTTCGCTTACGTCACAAGCGACCACGTGCGATCGATAATTTTGGCGAACGTATGTCTTATGGGATTGGGCAATCCTATTAGGTTTACGATTCTTGGTCAATGTCGACTTTGATTATATGTCTCAGAATAAATTCGTCAAAATTGATATTGATTTCTTGTGACTCTTGATAAACTTTTGCAAGATACCGCGAAGACATAATCAGCAATCACAGTTAATAGTTCTGAATGTTTTGTTTTTTTTTTTTTAAATTGGAAAAAGAACAAGCTAAAAATGGACTCCTTCTGCAAATTGATAATGGAATTGAACGAGTTTCAAATGCAACATCATTTCTAAAATATAAATAATATAAGAAATACGTTATTTGAAACCAGCGTCACGTCATTTCAGAAGGGTAATATGACTATATACTATACCGCATGAGTGTTGTTTTTAAATATTAAGAGAGCTGTTTTTTTTTTATCTCTTCTATTAATGTGCAATTTTTAAAATTATTAAAATCTTTCTTGTATGTATTTTTAACCACTAGTGTCTCAAAATACCTACGGCGAATAGGGTACACGCAAATACTGGGTGGACAAAGTTATTGGCTGTAGATTCTAACAATTGATAGGCACCTATTTTAACAAATTTTGTGCTAAAATAGTCTGTATAAGGAAATAACCAATCTTTTTCTATGGTTTGAATGTATGTCCTTAATTTGAAAGATTCACAATTGATGCTACGACATTTGGATTCCCTAGTTGATTTCGGTGATTTTGGTAGTAGTTTACTGCGCGGTGAACGGCAGAGAGCATCTCGAAGTCCTATATTTAGAAAAGACTAATTACATAATTTTCAAACAAGTATAACAAGATAAGTTATTGAACCAATTCCAATAAAAATCAGTAGCACATAACTTGGACCCGTCTATAAAATTAGATATATAGGGTTAATAGACGAGAATTTCAATTGGACTGGGCATATTGACCATTTACATAAAAAGTAGTTCCTGCTGTCAGTGCATTGTTCAGATGTCGGGAATATGTGAGTGTTTGCTCTAGAATTAATGCCTACCATGCATTTTTCTTTCCCATCTCTATTTGATTACTGTATGGTTAAGTTGTTACATCTATGAAACTCCCACAAAATAAAATAATAAACGTTCTCTTTTCATATGATATACAGAGAGCTGGAAAGAGAGAAGTTGGGTATACTTTTTTTCAAATAGTCAATGGAAGTTCAGTACGGCACTGGCAAACATTTTAAGAAATACCAAACCAATCAAATTTGATACAAAATTATGATTTGAAAACGAAGTACTTTAAAAGATATGTTTATATGGAATTTTGTTGGTGAAAAAAAGTGGTTTCTGATCAACTGATAGATATTATTTCCAAAAAGCGAGTCCATGCTGTATATAAATAAGTGGTCGCGGATCGGATTTGAGCTTTGACAACCGGTAATACGTGTGTCGCAATACTTTAATTGACTGGGGTAATTTTGTTTTTAATTTCGTGAAAGTCCGCTCCTTATTAATCGGGTCGATAGAAAACGAAAACCAAACAGATAAGCCACCGTTTCAACTAAACCAATGCAAAATTCCAGTTGATGTCTGGCGCATCATCGACCTCTAGTGGTGTACATTGAATTAGACAAACAGTGAAGTGGTTAATAATCGTGACTAAAAGGGATACCTTCATTACTACCGAAATTGTATTAAATTTGGTAAGTGCATTTTTATTGGTTACTTTATAATATTTGGTCGGATTGGTTTTTTTCGTCAACTGTCGTTCGCTCCTTATCGATAGAAATGCGAAAAATGTTATACGTCGTACGTATAAATTAGCACCGAATAAAAATGGTGATATATGTAAATAGTTTTTTCAGCCCAAATAGACTTTGATCTGTTAATTTTTGCATAATTATTTTGCATCGGTTTCAAGGCTTTTCCTAGCGCGTGCGTGTGTTTTTTTTTACATAAATGAGTTTTTGTTGTTATTTAGATAAACCGACTATTTTATCTGCAGTCTATATTTTCAAACTGGTGTCGTATATTTAGACTTTTCTGCGTTAAACTGCGTTAGCTTATGACAGAAAACATCATTTGGAAATCTTCCGGTAACTCCACCCTGGAGTCTTCGAGAGTCATATTGGGAAAGTTGGCCACCAATAAGGCGAGAAATAATCCGGTTATTGAAAACTAGCCGTTTTTGTAAAATGCAAAACTCCAAATTATTTTGGATCCTGCAGACCCTACTTTTATATTCCAAAAGTATACCGACAGAAATCGAAAGTCAACAAAAATATTGGGTTGTGGGAATACCAAAAATATGTTTAGGAATAACTTGCCAATTTAAAAAAGAAATGAGGCGTTTTTCTTCACACAATATCCTTTACTACTGTATTTTAAAAAATTGAAAAAGTCATAAACAACATATTTTAGTACAAAAGAAAAAAGTAAATATATTGCTGTAGGCGGAAAGAAATTTTGAGCTCTAGGTCATTTGCATAAATAGGCATTTGCTTGGGTAGCAATTGTACCGCTCTGTTTTTGGCTTTAATTATATGCGTGGGAAAATAATTATATCTGTGTTCCATAATGGTATTCAGCTCATTTTAAGAGCCTTTGCTATTTTTACTTTTTGCTATTAATTGATTGCCTAATTAATTAATCAACCTGACTGCAGACAAGATAGTAATCTTAGCAAATCCAATATTTGTCGAAAGTAATTTCTTGTAATAGATACTAAAAAAATATTTTTTAATTTAACTAACCTCTCTAGACATATTTCAAACCAAATTCGAAAAACTTAAGGAGCTGATTCCGTGTTTAAAATAAAGGGTAATTTGATATAGAAACGGTGGTTCAAAACCCAGTCATTGGTAGGGTTGTGGAACTGACCGATAATATTTTTTGTGTCAATTTACCAGTCCATCGACCGAAATAATTTTAAAAATACAATGAAATTTATGTTTATTTATATTGTGAGATACGTCGCCATCGTGTCGTTCTGAGAACTAAATGGAGTGGATCGAGCGTGTCGTATTCGGGTATTCCTTGAAGAGGGGGCATAATAATTTATTATAACACATTATTATTAAATAATGATGAATAACACGCTACAATTGTCATTTCAAACATTTTGATAGAATTTGACTAGTCAATTAAAAAGTAGTCAGTTGATCAGTCAATTAAGAAGTGGTCAATTGACCAGCCCTAATACTAGCCATTCTACAAATATGGCGAAAAATAATGTTTTCATTTTTTTTTTATATTACCGACGTAGTACTATTACAAAAAAACAGCTTCTGCATATTTATTTTATTATTTTTTTAAAATGAGTTGAGAGAATTGTAATGGACTACTCATATCATTCTTCTTTACACAACCATATCAGCTAAATGCGAAAAATGTTAATTACATTTTTAGTCTTTCATTCAGTTAATTTAATTTCTTTTCAGTTTCTGGAATCGTCCAGAATTATGTAGAGGAAGGCAGAAGGCCTCTTCTCGTAATAATAGTCTAAAATTCTTTTTAGGGGTCATCTTGAAAATCTACGCCTCTTTCCTCTTTCGAAGATTTGAGACAGCAAATACTTGTTTCGTATGAGACTGTACGGAATACGTCTGCATGCAATATTGATGGTACGAAATTAAGAAATTTGAGTGGCCAGTAATTTCATGAACAGTGGCGTACTATTATTTTCTTCAAAAGCATGCGGTATAAATGGCGCACTGAAGACAGTGTTAAAAATTTAAAAAAAAGGTTGTGCACCTAAAAAATGATAAACAAAACGGAGTTGCCCGAGGGGTAAACGGCTATAATGGATCTCTCACGCCTCTATTTAAGTTTCCAATTTTAGATAACTAATTCCTCGACTAATTCCTTTAATAAACATACTTCTGATGCTCAGAAATTCCTTTGCAAATACCTCTATTGGCCTCTAATTCTCTAGTACCTACTAATTTTCTTAGTCAGTCCGCTAATACTTCCGATGTTAATAAGAATAAACATTTATTTAAGAAGAACTCTAAGTGTCAAAATAGCTTGTCAAGGAAATGTATCTTGTTTATTATTTGTTTAATTACAAAAGTTATAGACGAGACTAAAAGAAACAATTTACAATTATTTTGAAATATACAGGGTGATTCATAAATATGTGTGAAATCAAATTTATACATTTTTTAAATTATTTATTTTAATATATATTATACCATTAATATGATCGTTATGGTCTGTACTGAGTGTTTTCGGAAATACTGAACATTTTCAAACCGTGTTAAAATATCACGAAATATTAAGAACAAAGTAAAAAAATGCAATGCGGAAATAATTTATTAAATCCGAGATTTAAACAAAAATAAAATTATAAACTGCGCAACTTTGGAAAAGCAGTTTAAACAGTATTTCACGCTAGGGATAATATTAAAAATGTAATATTTATATTGCTAATCGAAAAAACACTTAAAAACTAAAAACAGGACTGCAAAGTAAAAAAGAACTGTTTAATTAAGTTTCACTTTATTTATCGCTCGAAATGTCTCCCACCGACTTCGATATATACTTTAATACGGTGTTTAAAGGATTGGACACTATTCGCCAACATTTCATGACTAACACTTCGGAAGGTTTTTGTTGTGGGAGCAGTTTTATACACCTGGTCTTTAACATGCCCCCGCAGAAAATATTATTTGAAATTATTTTGTGGTTCTATAATATTTTGGGCTTTAAGAAAGGCAGAATCTCTAAATTAGTTAAGAGAAAGAAAACATTTTTTTCACAAAATTAAAAATGTACTTGTTTATTTTTTTCCACAAGTTCCATTTGATTTTTTCACTATAATTAATGTATTTCATTTTGACTCACCCTATATAAATGATTCGAACTAAATTCAAGACAAGTATAATACCACTTTATAAAATTGTTGGCACAATAAAATTTAACTCTCGGAAAGAGCGTCTCTTTTTAGACCATAACAGCCCTACAGTGAGTGATTGTTTATAATAAAAGGGAGTAACTAGCAATGCAATATACATTTAAAAAATAATAGTTGGTGTCTATGAACGCTGTATATTTGAAAATAATTTTAAATTGTTTCTTTTAGCCTCGTCTATAACTTTTGTAACTAACATTTTTCTCTAAAACAAATAATAATCAAGATATATTACTTTGACACCCTGCATAAAAATACCGAGAAAAATTCTGAAAAAGTTGTTGCTCGAAGGAGGCCATTAGTAATTCGAATCCTACAACAGTTTTGAAAATCGAAAAATATATTTATTTTTTAAACAAATACAAACATATCTTTATTTTATGTTTTTGTATTATATCAACCAAAACGTTAATATTTGAACATTTATGGTAGGCTTATAAAGTTAGTTAGATTACGAAATAACGCTTAAAGGAAAAATTAAAAATTTGTTATTAGGAAGGAGAATAATAAAGAAATATTAAACCATCGTAATAATTCAAATAAAATGATTTTTTTATAACAAACCCTCAACAATGCGCCTACATTATAAAATGTCATAAAATAATTAAGCCAGCAATATGTAAGTAGATATGTTTTTGTCACATCGGTTAATGTTCGAATCTTGGGTGTAATAATGAATTCCAGAAGCCTTAGCATTACAGTTCAATCGATTGAACATTTCCTCTTGGGTTATATTAGACAAATTGCAGTGATAACAAAAGCTAAGAATAACATTATGCCCAATTATATCATTATAATTGATGCCACTAATGGCTTGACTAATTGTAATAGTACCTGGACTAATACCACTATTCCTCGGCGATTACCGCTAGTTCCCGTAACATTTATTCCTCCCCGGTTAACCCCTCATATTTACGAAATTGCACAAATGCATTTAGAATGGTTTCCTAGATATTATAAAAAAAAGATTTTTCCCCACATATTTAGCCCACTCTACCTAAAAAGTTAAGACATTTAGCACTTACATCGGTGTTACCTAATCTCGTAATATGCAGCAACGAACAAAATTGAAAAGCGCTTGGAGTGAGCCTTTCAACCTCTTGATATCCAATTAAGAATTAATTAGCTCGTCGCCTTAGACGAGATCTTAATCCTCTATTGATTGTCAAGTGTTTATTTAACATATCGTCTGGGATATAATGTAATATCGAAACATTCTAAAAGAACTACTCCTCCATTTAACCTACAAATACGAAGCCTATTAATCAAGCCTTAAAAAACTTTCTATTGTGGTCACGTCAAGTCGTTTATTGTTCGGTCGTATTTTGCGAAACGCGCATTTTATAAACAATTTTTTTTTCGGTTTGTATCGCGCCACTTCTTTTATGTAACGCGATTTCGTTGATTTAGACCGAACGGGATTTCAGTAGTGGACCCGTGTACACTAAATCGCGACTTCTAACAAGAAACTACCTCAAGAAACGACTAGTAACTTAAAAAAATGTTTTCGGTCGATAACAAAAATAACATTCATAAGAGGTAGCAAGGTTACACATTAGAATCGAAATAAAACTTGCATCATTTCTTTCCTGCAATACATCTTAAGATTAATATTTTAAAACACTTATAAAAATAAAAACAATAAACAACTATTTGGGTGTTGCAAATGAAGCGATATTATTGTTCTTGTAATACTGTTCAACAGCCAAAATCTAACTAATTCTGAAATATGGTATTGAAAATCGATATATGGCAAAACTGGTTGTTCATATCATATTTCAGTTTTGTTAA